AAAAGAAGAAAAACAATAGCTAAATCAGGGGATGTAGCTCAGTGGTAGAGCGCAAGCTTTGCATGTATGAGGTCCTGGGTTCAATTCCAAGCAGTGAGGATCTTTCCATTACTTTCTTTGTTTGTGTCTTGAACCTCAAAATATGTATGCATTCCAGTGTTGACCTTTATCACCAATAATTTTTTATTTAAAAGCAAGTCTAGGTAAATAACAGAACACAATCATCACCACGAGGGGATGTAGCTCAGTGGTAGAGCGCATGCTTCGCATGTATGAGGTCCTGGGTTCAATCCCCAGCATCTCCAAGCATTGTGGAACTTTCCAATACTTTGTTTGGTTGAGTCTTGAACCTCAAAATCACATATGTATGCATTCCAGTGTTGACCTTTATCAACTATACATTTTGATTTAAAGGCACATCTAGGTAAATATCAGAAAACACTCATCACAGTGAGGGGATAGCTCAGTGGAAGAGCGCATGCTTCGCATGTATGAGGTCATGGGTTCAATCGCCAGCATCTCCAAGCAATGTTGGTCTTTTAAGTCAAAGGCATACATATACATCGTGCATAAAGAAAATAATATGTAAAAAAGAAGAAAAACAACAGCTAAATCGGGGGATGTAGCTCAGTGGTAGAGCGCATGCTTTGCATGTATGAGGTCCTGGGTTCAATCCCCAGCATCTCCAAGCAATGAGGATCTTTCCATTACTTTCTTTGTTTGTGTCTTGAACCTCAAAATATGTATGCATTCCAGTGTTGACCTTTATCACCAATAATTTTTTATTTAAAAGCAAGTCTAGGCAAATAACAGAACTCAATCATCACCACGAGGGATGTAGCTCAGTGGTAGAGCGCATGCTTCGCATGTATGAGGTCCTGGGTTCAATCCCCAGCATCTCCAAGCATTGTGGAACTTTCCAATACTTTGTTTGGTTGAGTCTTGAACCTCAAAATCACATATGTATGCATTCCAGTGTTGACCTTTATCAACTATACATTTTGATGTAAAGGCACATCTAGGTAAATATCAGAAAACACTCATCACAGTGAGGGGATAGCTCAGTGGAAGAGCGCATGCTTCGCATGTATGAGGTCCTGGGTTCAATCCCCAGCATCTCCAAGCAATGTTGGTCTTTTAAATCATAGGCATACATATACATCGTGCATAAAGAAAATAATATGTAAAAAAGAAGAAAAACAACAGCTAAATCGGGGGATGTAGCTCAGTGGTAGAGCGCATGCTTTGCATGTATGAGGTCCTGGCTTCAATCCCCAGCATCTCCAAGCAATGTTGGACTTTTAAATCAAAGGCATGCATCACATATACATCGTGCATAAAGAAAATAATATTTTAAAAAAGAAGAAAAACAACAGCTAAATCAGGGGATGTAGCTCAGTGGTAGAGTGCATGCTTTGCATGTATGAGGTTCTGGGTTCAATCCCCAACATCTCCAAGCAATGTTGGACTTTTAAATCAAATGCGTACATCACATATACATCGTGCATAAAGAAAATAATATTTAAAAAAGAAGAAAAACAATAGCTAAATCAGGGGATGTAGCTCAGTTGTAGAGCGCATGCTTTGCACGTATGAGGTCCTGGGTTCAATCCCCAGCATCTCCAAGCAGTGAGGATCTTTCCATTACTTTCTTTGCTTGTTTTTTGAACCTCAAAACCACATATGTATGCATTCCAGAGTTGACCTTTATCACCAATAATTTTTTATTTAAAAGCAAGTCTAGGTAAATAACAGAATACAACCATCACCACGAGGGGATGTAGCTCAGTGGTAGAGCGCATGCTTCGCATGTATGAGGTCCTGGGTTCAATCCCCAGCATCTCCAAGCATTGTGGAACTTTCCAATATTTTCTTTGCTTGTGTCTTGAACCTCAAAATCACATATGTATGCATTCATGTTGACCTTTATCAACTATACATTTTGATTTAAAGGCACATCTAGGTAAATATCAGAAAACACTCATCACAGTGAGGGGATGTAGCTCAGTGGTAGAGCGCATGCTTTGCATGTATGAGGTCCTGGGTTCAATCCCCAGCATCTCCAAGCAATGTTGGTCTTTTAAATCAAAGGCATACATATACATCATGCATAAAGAAAATAATATGTAAAAAAGAAGAAAAACAACAGCTAAATCGGGGCATGTAGCTCAGTGGTAGAGCGCATGCTCTGCATGTATGAGGTCCTGGGTTCAATCCCCAGCATCTCCAAGCAATGTTGGACTTTTAAATCAAAGGCATACATCACATATACATCGTGCATAAAGAAAATAATATTTAAAAAAGATGAAAAACAACAGCTAAATCAGGGTATGTAGCTCAGTGGTAGAGCGCATGCTTTGCATGTATGAGGTCCTGTGTTCAATCCCCAGCATCTCCAAGCAATGTTGGACTTTTAAATCAAAGGCATACATATACATCGTGCATAAAGAAAATAATATGTAAAAAAGAAGAAAAACAACAGCTAAATCAGGGGATGTAGCTCAGTGGTAGAGCGCATGCTTTGCATGCATGAGGTCCTGGGTTCAATCCCCAGCATCTCCAGCCAAAGAAGAACTTTCCATTACTTTGTTTGCTTGTGTCTTGAACCTCAAAATCACATATGTATGCATTCCAGTGTTGACCATTATCACCTATACATTTTGATTTTAAGGCACATCTAGGTAAATATCAGAAAACACTCATCACAATGAGGGGATGTAGCTCAGTGGTAGAGCGCATGTTTTGCATGTATGAGGTTTGGGTTCAATCAAAGGCATACATATACATCGTGCATAAAGAAAATAATATGTAAAAAAGAAGAAAAACAATAGCTAAATCAGGGGATGTAGCTCAGTGGTAGAGCGCATGCTTTGCATGTATGAGGTCCTGGGTTCAATCCCCAGCATCTCCAAGCAGTGAGGATCTTTCCATTACTTTCTTTGTTTGTGTCTTGAACCTCAAAATATGTATGCATTCCAGTGTTGACCTTTATCACCAATAATTTTTTATTTAAAAGCAAGTCTAGGTAAATAACAGAACACAATCATCACCACGAGGGGATGTAGCTCAGTGGTAGAGCGCATGCTTCGCATGTATGAGGTCCTGGGTTCAATCCCCAGCATCTCCAAGCATTGTGGAACTTTTCAATACTTTGTTTGGTTGAGTCTTGAACCTCAAAATCACATATGTATGCATTCCAGTGTTGACCTTTATCAACTATACATTTTGATTTAAAGGCACATCTAGGTAAATATCAGAAGACACTCATCACAGTGAGGGGATAGCTCACTGGAAGAGCGCATGCTTCGCATGTATGAGGTCCTGGGTTCAATCCCCAGCATCTCCAAGCAATGTTGGTCTTTTAAATCAAAGGCATACATATACATCATGCATAAAGAAAATAATATGTAAAAAAGAAGAAAAACAACAGCTAAATCGGGGGATGTAGCTCAGTGGTAGAGCGCATGCTTTGCATGTATGAGGTCCTGGGTTCAATCCCCAGCATCTCCAGCCAAAGAAGAACTTTCCATTACTTTGTTTGCTTGTGTCTTGAACCTCAAAATCACATATGTATGCATTCCAGTGTTGACCTTTATCACCTATACATTTTGATTTTAAGGCACATCTGGGTAAATATCAGAAAACACTCATCACAATTACCCCTTTTCCACCAACGCATTTTGAGAGCCGGTTCGGAGCCGGTGCCTGCGCGCGAACCGGTTCTTTGTGTTTCGACAGCCAAAGAACCGGTTCTCGGCCAGGAAAACTGGTTCCAAAGCGGCACCAACTCTTTGCTGGACTAGAACCGTTCTTTTACCACGTCATGCTTACGTCGGGGGCTGGGGGCGGGTTTAGATAACATATTTTCTGACATAATATAGGATCGCAAAGCCAGGAGAAACATTTGCAGAAACACGATGTAGTCCGCCATTGTAATTGTTATGCTTGAAGTTAGCGCAAGCGTTTCTAGTTTTTTTTTTATCATTTTTTTTTATTGAAAACGTTATGTAAACAAAGGAGAAAACAGTCACAATATAGAACAAATAAATGGAAAGAAAAAAATACACACGACAGGAGTACATAACTAATCAGAAAAGATTACATATCAAAGGAAAAGATTAAAAGACTTACATATTTCAATTGTTTTTAAAGCCTTCTTGGTTCACGAGTTAGAGATAATCCCAAAGTAATGTTGTACTTGCAAGCGTTTCTAGCTAAGATGTATGGCGACGTACACAGTGACGTAACGACGTCGTTCGCTGGGCGCTCTTGTCAGTGGAAAAACAAACAGGTTCTGAGAAGGTTCGCAAGTTGAACCAACTCCGAACCAACTTTGAACCAGCACCAGTTCCGAACCAGTTCGTTTTTGGTGGAAAAGGGGTAAGAGAGGGGATGTAGCTCAGTGGTAGAGCGCATGCTTTGCATGTATGAGGTCCTGGGTTCAATCCCCAGCATCTCCAAGCAATGTTGGACTTTTAAATCAAAGGCATACATCACATATACATCGTGCATAAAGAAAATAATATTTAAAAAAGAAAAAAGAAAAAACAGCTAAATCAGGGGATGTAGCTCAGTGGTAGAGTGCATGCTTTGCATGTATGAGGTCCTGGGTTCAATCCCCAGCATCTCCAAGCAGTTAGGATCTTTCCATTACTTTCTTTGCTTGTTTCTTGAACCTCAAAACCACATATGTATGCATTCCAGAGTTGACCTTTATCATCAATAATTTTTTATTTAAAAGCAAGTCTAGGTAAATAACAGAACACAACCATCACCATGAGGGGATGTAGCTCAGTGATAGAGCGCATGCTTCGCATGTATGAGGTCCTGGGTTCAATCCCCAGCATCTCCAGCCAATGTGGAACTTTCCAATACTTTCCTTGCTTGTGTCTTGAACCTCAAAATCACATATGTATGCATTCCAGTGTTGACCTTTATCACCTATACATTTTTGATTTAAAGGCACATCTAGGTAAATATCAGAAAACACTCATCACAGTGAGGGGATAGCTCAGTGGAAGAGCGCATGCTTCGCATGTATGAGGTCCTGGGTTCAATCCCCAGCATTTCCAAGCAATGTTGGTCTTTTAAATCAAAGGCATACATATACATCATGCATAAAGAAAATAATATGTAAAAAAGAAGAAAAACAACAGCTAAATCGGGGGATGTAGCTCAGTGGTAGAGCGCATGCTTTGCATGTATGAGGTCCTGGGTTCAATCCCCAGCATCTCCAGCCAAAGAAGAACTTTCCATTACTTTGTTTGCTTGTGTCTTGAACCTCAAAATCACATATGTATGCATTCCAGTGTTGACCTTTATCACCTATACATTTTGATTTTAAGGCACATCTAGGTAAATATCAGAAAACACTCATCACAATGAGGGGATTTAGCTCAGTGGTAGAGCGCATGCGTTGCATGTATGAGGTCCTGGGTTCAATCCCCAGCATCTCCAAGCAATGTTGGACTTTTAAATCAAAGGCATACATCACATATACATCGTGCATAAAGAAAATAATATTTAAAAAAGAAGAAAAACAACAGCTAAATCAGGGGATGTAGCTCAGTGGTAGAGTGCATGCTTTGCATGTATGAGGTCCTGGGTTCAATCCCCAGCATCTCCAAGCAATGAGGAACTTTCCGTTACTTTCTTTGCTTGTGTCTTGAACCTCAAAATCACATATGTATGGATTCCAGTGTTGACCTTTATCACCAATAATTTTTTATTTAAAAGCAAGTCTAGGTAAATAACAGAACACAATCATCACCACGAGGGGATGTAGCTCAGTGGTAGAGTGCATGCTTTGCATGTATGAGGTCCTGGTTCAATCCCCAGCATCTCCAAGCAGTGAGGATCTTTCCATTACTTTCTTTGCTTGTTTCTTGAACCTCAAAACCACATATGTATGCATTCCAGAGTTGACCTTTATCATCAATAATTTTTTATTTAAAAGCAAGTCTAGGTAAATAACAGAACACAACCATCACCATGAGGGGATGTACCTCAGTGGTAGAGCGCATGCTTCGCATGTATGAGGTCCTGGGTTCAATCCCCAGCATCTCCAGCCAATGTGGAACTTTCCAATACTTTCTTTGCTTGTGTCTTGAACCTCAAAATCACATATGTATGCATTCCAGTGTTGACCTTTATCACCTATACATTTTTGATTTAAAGGCACATCTAGGTAAATATCAGAAAACACTCTTCACAACGAGGGGATGTAGCTCAGTGGTAGAGCGCATGCTTTGCATGTATGAGGTCCTGGCTTCAATCCCCAGCATCTCCAAGCAATGTTGGACTTTTAAATCAAAGGCATACATCACATATACATCGTGCATAAAGAAAATAATATGTAAAAAAGAAGAAAAACGACTCGGTTACTAACGTAACCTCGGTTCCCTGAGAGGAGGGAACGAGTATTGCGTAAGCTTACGCTATGGGAAAACTCCTTTTCTCGAGAAATATTGAAGTCTTTATGTAAAACGCATTGCAGCTGCACAGCATACAGCAATGAGCGAGGCAGCTCGGTCATTGGCTGTGCTGCGGCAGCTTGCACGAACCAATGACGGGGCGACTCTGAACCCGCTTCCAATGAGCGTGCTTCGCGCCCACGCGCGTCAGAGCCCGCCGAGATGGGCGTGGCCAAGGGCTATATATTGGGCGCCCCGTCGTCTGAGTTCTTTAGGTTCAATTCGACTGAAGCAAACTGACAAAGCACAAGCACGGCAGATTACGCAATACTCGTTCCCTCCTCTCAGGGAACCGAGGTTACGTTAGTAACCGAGTCGTTCCCTTTCGAGAGGTTCCTCCTATTGCGTAAGCTTACGCTATGGGAACGCCATGTAAAACGCCGTGCGTGCTGACTTCGCTTCTATTAAGCCGGAGGCCGGAGCCTGAGCCTTTGAGCAAAGTAATTATCCAACGAGCCAGCCGAAGGCGGGTTTTATAAAGGACAACGTGGAACGGCCCGATGGGCGTCCAGAGACACACACAAGCACATTTTCATGTACTGTCATGTATGAAAAATCCTCCACATCAGTTTCAAGATGTGATTCTATGAGGGAGGAGACAATGCTCAGCATGTACACACCCCAGCCTATGATGGTTAGACCGACAGTATGTTAGAATGCAATGAGGGGACCTGTAGGTTATAAAACCTGATAAATGTGGACGGTGAGGCCCAGCCTGCAGCCGCACAAATATCTTGAATGGGTATCCCACTCGACCACGCCCACGAGGAGGCCATGCCTCTCGTAGAGTGAGCTCTGATGCCCAAGGGGCACTGAAGGCCCTTGGCTTCATAAGCCAGCGCTATAGCATCAACTATCCAGCGCGATATTCTTTGCTTTGACACAGCCAGACCTTTAGTGCGACCGCCAAAGCATACGAACAACTGCTCTGTCTGTCTGAACAGGGCAGAGCGTTCCAAATATACTCTGAGTGCCCTGACCGGGCAGAGTAAATTAGCGTCACTTTCGTCTGCTGGGGACGATAGCGCGGCCAAAGATATCACCTGTGCTCTGAAAGGAGTAGAGAGCACCTTAGGAATATACCCGTGTTTTGGCCTGAGGACAACCCTGCTGTCGTTAGGTCCAAACTCCAGGCAGTTAGCGCTTGAAGACAGCGCGTGCAGATCGCCCACTCTCTTGACCGAGGCGAGAGCCAGCAAGAGAGCAGTTTTGAGCGAGAGCTGTTTAAGGTGCACAGTTCGGAGGGGTTCGAACGGGGCACGCTTAAGTGCGTCCAGGACCGTGGCCAGGTCCCAAATCGGCACCGAGGGGGGGCGTGGGGGATTCATCCTCCTGGCGCCCCTCAGGAAACGAACAACTAGGTAGTTTTTCCCTAGTGTGCGTCCTTCGACCGGTTCATGTGATGCCGCTATGGCAGCCACATATACTTTGAGCGTGGAGGGGGTGCGGCCTGCCTCCAACAGCTCCAAGGCCGTAACCAGGGTTGGAAAATTAGTGAGGTCCGGGGTGTTGTGTAAAGAATTTTGCTATAATAATGGTTAGGCCATTGGACCCACGTTTCCCCATGGACATTAAGCTGTGACCCTTTTTTTTAATGGAATTTGGCATATATACATATACAGGGGTTAAATTTGGATATAATTATGTGTGGGGTAGTCACTCACTAGGGGGGTCCGGGGTTATGCCCCCCCCGTGATTTTTTTTTGTGAAAAATAAACCAAAATGGCACTTTCTGGAGAGTTTTGTGCAAAGAAATATAGAAAAAAGTAGGTCTAGCAAGTCTTATATTTCTGTAATTCACACAGATCAAACAGAAATATGCTGACTGAATAGATTGCTAGTTGAGAAACACTGCTTTAATTAATGTTTTTATGATGACTTTGTGAAAGGTTAACTAAACAGCATGAGCCGTCTTCCAGCTGGCCAGTAAGTTATTTGGCAAATTTCATTCTGTAGGCTAACATACAGATCTGTATTATGCTATTGTTTTTGATAGTGTTATTTCTTACAGATAATCACGATTGTCATTGCGTTTGTCTTACCGAATGTGGTAGCTTTATGCAATTACAGTTTGTCTATAAGCTTTTTTTTATATATTTTAATAATGCCGACAGTTAAATGTTGCCAGATATTGCTACGAAAAACAAGCAAAAAAAAAATAATAATAATAATAATCCGAAATAAGTTCAAAGCTTGTGTTTTGGAAATAAGATTAATATATCACTAAACCTAACATGCAACTTTCCACTTTAATAACTTCCTAAAGTGTCACATTAAATCAGAAAAACAGGTCCAGGAGACTACTGCCACCTTTCCATTAGGTGGATCTGGCAACATGGAGGCTGCACCCACGTTCACAACGCGCTCTCAAGCCCCGTTCACTGCGCCAGCTTCTCGCAGCAACATGAATTGCAAACACTCATATGAGGTGGTTTAAACACGGCTAATTAATCATTCAGAGAGCTTGACATTTTATTTTTGATTGTAAAAAAAATGACCGAGGTCCGGACCTCGGTGACCTCATAGCTGGCTACGGCCATGAACAGCTCTTGTAAGAAAACGAGCACACTCGGTACTTCGCATGTCTCAGGGTTCAGGTTCCTGGGTTTACACCAGTCACTGAACACCTTCCATTTCTTGGCATATAAGCGCCTCGTAGAGGGCGCTCGCGCCTCAGTGATGGTTCTCAACACTCCACTGGGGAGGTTCCCGGGAATCCGTTGAGGGGCCACGCATGGAGGGCCCACAGATCGGGGCGGGGATGGAGGATCATCCCGTTGGCCTGCCTGAGGAGATCTAGCCTCAGTGGAATCGGCCATGGGGCAGATTGCATCATCTGCATCAGTTCTGGAAACCACGTCTGGTTCTTCCAGAGTGGGGCTACCAGGAGCACTGCACATTTCTCCTCCCTGATCCGACTGATGACCTGAGGTAGCATCGCGACCGGAGGGAAGGCATACAGCGGGCAGCTCGGCCAGACTTGGGCGAGCGCGTCTGTGCTCTTTGAAAAGAAGAGAGGGCAGTGCGCATTTTCCTTGGAGGCAAAGAGGTCGACCTCTGCTCTGCCAAAGGTTTGCCATAACCACTGAATCGTCAGGGGGTGGAGAGACCATTCTCCTGGGAGAACTTTGTCTCTGGACAGCATGTCCGCTCCCTGGTTCAGAACGCCTGGCACATGCGCTGCTCTCAGTGAGCGCAGGTTGCGCTGGGACCATAGGAGGAGCTCCCTGGCCATCGAGTGCAGGGAGCTCGATCTGAGTCCACCCTGACGATTTATATGCGAGACTACCGTCATGTTGTCCGTTCGGACTAGAACGTGCTCGTCCTTCAGGTACGGGAGCAGGGCTCTGAGAGCCAAAGCGACCGCTTTCAATTCCAGACAGTTTATATGTAGGCGCTTCTCCGGGTTTGACCACAAGCCGGAGACAGGCCTGCCCTCGTAAAGGGCCCCCCAGCCTATTTTGGAGGCATCTGTCGTGATAATTTTTCTCCTTGTGTTCACGCCCAAACTCACACCGGACTGATACCAGTCGACAGCTTTCCAGGGCGTCAGGGCTTTTATGCAGCCGTGATTTGCTCTGATTAAAAAGTGGCCTGAGCGCC